ACGCCGCCACTGACAGTGACAGCGTCCAGTCTGTAGAGGGCGCCGGCCGTTAGACCGCAAAGCAGCAGGGAGGCGGGGCCGGGCGGCACCGCAACGCTGCGGTTCTGAACGACGACGCTGGACGACACAACACAAGGCCCCGCCGCTTAGCTTCCGCGTACACGCGCAGAGACTCAAGACGTGCTCCTTGGCGCCACCTGTCTTTGAGGAGCGCCAGCGTGTACGAGTCCACCTCCCCGCGTGGTTTTTCCCAGGAGGCCCGGAGGCAGTCCACGCCCACGCTGCGCAGCGTCAGCGCGCTCAACGCCACGGGAACTGGAACGGACGCGCAGCACACTTGAGCTCGGCCACGTGCACGCACGCACGCACACAAGACGACGACGGCGGCAGTGGCGCCGACCTGTCCTTCCCTCCACGAAGACAGACGCGTTGAGGTTTCCGCTCCTGGTCGTCACAGTGATGTTATACATCCGCCCGGGAGTGAGGACGTTGAAGGTGCACTCCCTCATATGAGGCTCCACCTCCCTGGTATCCACGGTGACGTCACCTAGACAACGGCAAAGCGGTCAGTCGACCCCGAGGGGCCGCGCGACGGGCGGCGCCCGGTGGAGGCGGGCTTACCGTGGCCAAGGCTCAGGAAGTAAGCGTCCCGCCGCCCCGAGGGGGCGTGGCTCCACATGGCGCTCAGAGAGGTTTCGTCAGCGTGGCGAATGGCGAGGTCGCGTACCGGCGCGGGAACTGACGGCGACACGACATGCGTGCGTCACAGGCGCGTGTGGGCGCCCGCGACGCGTGTGCCGTTTTTGCGTGTCTCACGCGTGTTTCCGTCACAGTCGCTTTCCGTGGCCAGCGGTCCACTTCGGACGGCCAGCGCGGCTCGGTAGCGCCGTCCGGGAAGCAGTCCCGTCGGCGGGAAGGTGAAGTTGACGGCCTCCCGGCGCAGGTCGGCGGCGGCGACTTCCCGGGAGCCGTCGCTGAGGACCACCCGGTAGTCGTCCCAGTGACCGGCGGGGGGCGCCCAGGACAGGAA